TATTAAGTCCAATAACTGACGAAACAGACTGAAATGTTTCCCCTCGAGTCCTAAGTGTCATTTCACTGGACTTAATGGGTTACAGATGCTTCAGTATGTTTTTTTTCTTCAGGGTGCTCAATGCGGTAAACAATCAGAGCAGCTGAATCGCTTTAAAATTGGGTGAAATGATTTTCCTCCAAGAACACACTCCACACAAGAGAAGGTACAATAACATGAAATATATACTGAACAAAAGGTGTATGTATGGTAATTAAGTACATGGTGTTTTGCACATGATGTGGTCAGTAGCCATGTTCTCTTGTGTGGTGCTATCTCTAACTTTTTTTCTTCTTGCAGAAAGTAGTGCTTCTCTTATTCCAGTCTACTCTAAAAAGCTTGGAGAAAGATGCACTGATCCGCTGCATGATGTGCTACTGTACCAAGTCTCTCTATTTGTTTGCAGCTCAATCTTGGAACCAAATCTACCTTTCAACGCTCCTTTGTATTCTTCCACCACCTGTGGCAACAGCAGGTGCTGATCCTCTGTCCCAGTTTGGTCTTCCCAAACAATTTTTTTTCCCTTACTTCTATAGATTCTATGTTTTTGCCAAATCAAACCACTTATCACAGAAAAATTACTAGGATGGCAGAAAAACAACAATAAGTCAGGCTAGATTGTAGCCTCTACTTTATGTTTACTACAGACATGCATGACGAAAGTAATGTGGACGATTATGATTTATGACAACATTATACTTTGTGTCGTTTGGTAAATTCACTTCAAACCTAATTTAAACACTGCAAATTCACATTTCCTTATTTCTCAAACCATCTCAAAATTTGCATTTCAGTTGAATGGAAACACGCTCACTGATCACTTGAGCCCATAGATGGATGGAAACAAATAACTCCTGTAGAGGTACATTCACACTCAATGCAGATGCAATAAGTGGAGAGAGTAATTTACGTATCATCTCTTTATAATGGCAGTTTAAGGAGGGACTTAAAGGTCAGCAATGAGAACACATTTTGATTCATATAAATGCTTCCTATTAGGCAATCAGAGTAAGGTGGCATGGCAAGAGATGAGGTGGACGCACGTTGAGACCAACAAAAGTGTTAAAAAAATCCATACCTGTATAATTCTGCTTGCCGTAACTCAATCAGGGATTGGATGTGATTCTGATATATGGTTAAGGACAGCAGAAGACTGTAATGCTTTGGTCTGAATTTGCCATATTAAATTCTCAGGTGTTCCTCTTAATTACATAATGTTGTTCTGGTTAAGTCTCTTTAAATGCATATGGAGCATTTCACACCACTCCTCCCGACTACAGGTTGCAGAGCATTTCACGCCACTTTGTCAGCAAGGTTTTTTGTTTTATGATTTATACAAAAATCTCATGGTACAGAAACCTATTCTTTTTTGAAACTATAAAATCAACAACAGAAGAACCTTGCATGATAAAAAGAGTCTGACCCAAAGCAAGAGGAGCATTTAAGAAAAATATGATCTGAATTGATGCTTTATCTTATTAGGCTACATTAGGAATTGTGATCTTAAAATAGCAAAGAAAACAGTTGGCATATATGCTATAGCCTAATGTTAATATGTATTGACAATACTCTATTGCTACTTTACAGATATCTTGTGAAATATAAAACCTACCACAATATGAATAAAAACAGAAAGGCTTTTAAGGATGCTCAGTCCAGTCCAAATTGTTTTTGATTATTCTTGTGTTTTTTTAGTCTACATTTTTGCGTGAAAGTTTACATACTCTCTCATTACAGAAAATTATAAATTCACACTAGTAAGTCAAATAACACAAAATTGAAAGAAGGAATAATAAATGTCATGATTTGCATGATTTGCTCGTTTTTATTTAATATTATGTCAAATTTAATCTATTCTGTGGCAGCTGTATTTTTCTGTCTTTAATAAAAGGGTATGTAAACTGTACATTTACTCTGTTCTGAGAGTCTCAATTTAAAAAAGAAAAAAAACCCACGGAGGTACTGCGAAAAGTTTTGGTTGATTTGACTTTTTTTTTTCATATTCCCCCCTGCTATTTTTTCCACTAATTGAAACATCTTTAAATACACATTAACATGAATTCAAAACACTGTAGTGAGCAGAAAAATGGAGGCAGAAGATCTCTCTCAGCCATCATTGCACGCATTCAGCGACACACAGGAGATCTTTCAAGCTGGGCACCGTTTCATTCACAATACCTGTCCCATCAAAGAGGAATCAGAAATACTTTAATAATCCCAGGGCGAAATTACTTTCGTTACATTACTCCCTATGTAATAGAGTGTAGGACCATTTTGATGAAACACAATTTCATACAATATATATAATTAGGGGGTCCCCGCTCCATCTCACCATCAGTTTGGGGGTCCTTGGCCTGGAAAATTTTGAAGACCCCTGCCCTACAACATAAAACGTTCTTAAAACCTCTATACTTTGGCCTGAATACAGAACTAAACACCATAGAATTATAGATGAAAACTATTCCAACTTTTAAGTCTTGCTCTTAATTGCAGCTCTAACAGAGCATTGTTTTTTACATGCATACACAGGAATTTTTGCAGGAGAATTTTACAGTTAAAAGCAGATCTTTTTATTTAGCATGGTTTCCTAATGCTCCAAATGAAAGCAACTGTTTAACAGCTTCTTCAAAAAAGACAGTTATCCTAGTTTGTAGCCATGACTCAACCATGCTTCAGCTGAATGAGCAGGAATGATAGTTTCCTGTTTTTACCAGCTCATGGTTTTACAAGCTTCAGAGAGTTAACCTTGCTCACTGCTTCTGAGTTTGACTTTTTATATATATTGTTTTAGGAAAACACCACCAACACCAAGTAGAAACGCTGCTTTCTACTTTGTGTTTTTTATTTTTTCCAATAGATTTGTGTCCTTCATTACTTAGCCTATTATATGGCTTTCTCTGCCATTGTATATTCCCTCTGTTTCCTTCAAGTGCAAAGTACTCTTGTCACTATTGTGTTTTTTCCCTTTCCTCTTCCAGTGATTCTAGGTTATGCTATGCT